ATTAAGTTAAGTAATGAATAACTGAATAATATAATAGCTATCAGGTTTTTAAATAATATATTTTTATTTCCTAAATGTCCAATTTTAAGAGTTATGTTCCTAATCCTTCTCAAGATAGGTAATACTTAACTAGGAGCTTTCATTAATTTAAAAGATATTTTTGGCTCACTGGAATCTTTTGCAGCTTACACATTTTGATAGTTCATCTCATACTTGTCTGCTAATGACTGTTGAATGTTGAAAAAAATGCAGGGGCATGGTAGAGCTGCATGGTAGGGCATGGGCATAGCATGCACAAGGTCCTGGGTTCAGCCCCCGGTGCCTCCATTAAAAATAAAGCAAATAAATAAACCTACTTACCCCCAAATAAAAATAAATACTAACCCCCCAGCAGCGTATAAAGGAAAGGAAGTATGTTTTAAAAATATTGAGAAAAAGGCAACATCTCATTTTTAGATCATATTAAACATTTATTAAAATTATTATTGCCTTATATTTTAACGGCTGTACATTCCCACTTACATGTATCAGCTTTTGGGTTTGTGACTTCATTCAGATTTACATGACAGTTTGTAAGTCTCCATGTTCTACAGTTGTGGCTGAGAAATAGAGTCAGAGAAGAGGGAAAGCTTTTCCATTGAAATAGTTATTAGAGGAATTGATGATTCCTGTAATTCCTAATAAGGTTAATAAGTCATAGGGGTATATTTTTGAAGTCTTAAACTCCAAATCACCTGGCTAAGCCACAGAGCTGAGACAGTTACTCGACACTGAGTACCTGGGGGTGGCAGAGGCGTGGCTAGGAAGTCACCCTACAAAGGACTTGTTCCTGACTCTGCGCTGTCTCATGATTGCTGCGTCATGGATGGAGTATCTGACCAGGGCCGAAGCAGACGTGCTGCTGGTGGACGCATTGTGGAGCCCCTGCCGGGCAGGCTTGAGGACTGTGTGGCATTTCATTTCTCGTGCTGTGGAAGTCTTTGAGCTGGGCCCCGAAAGAGTGCAGATTGGTAGGTCTGACAATATTGAAGACATTTAGACATTTCCGATATGCTCTTTGATATACGTGGACACCAATGGTGTCACTTTAACCCTTGCTTATGATACTGGGGACCCGAGAACAGAGCAGCAGTTAAATGCTCACAGAGACAAGCTTGTTGCAGGCTGTGGTGAACTTACCTTACAAAGGAGGCAGGACCCTCACAGGTGAGTCAAAGTGGTCTGGTGCACTGGGAGCTCTTGCTTTTTAGTCAAAGCTTGTGGTGGAATAATGATGTGATAGATTCTCTTTTAAAAATCCCCATAGGCATGGCTTTCACCAACAGAGCTTCAAGACCCAAGGTGACATGAGGCCTGGGGCCCAAAAAATTGGTGCTCTCGTCAGTGATGGAAAATCCCAAGGTGATGTTGAGGCCCCGGCAAAGCAACTCAGGGATGAAGGCGTGGAGCTGTTTGTCATTGAGAAGACTGGCTATGCCCCTGGGGCTTGCAAGTATGCTGAGGATGGTTTTGTAGTTAAAAATACTTTCTGAAGCATGGACAAAGAGTCAAACACATTTTTCCCTGTTACATAATTTATCAAAATGCTGTGCCAGGACGTTAATTAATTTCCTTCTTTTCTCCTTGCAACGGGCCGAAACTCTGTGGCTTCTTGAAAGAGAGTAATGGGTCAAGAGGACAAATGTACTATTACAAGGACTCAGGAAAAATTTGTTTGACTTTCCACAGCGCTGTGTTTGTTTTTGATATTTGTTATTTTACTTTCCAGAAAAAACATTGAAGAGACACTTTTTGGTGGGGAACTGGTGCTAGAAGCACTTAGGAGAATCTAAACAAAACAGATTTCGGTTAATACAATTTTTTGTTCCTATTTTATAATTAGAGATATGTAGTCATTTGATTATTGAGGAAAATCATATCTATGTCCTAGTTAACATTGAATATACAGGGGAAGCCCATAAAATATTGGCTTTATTCGGTTGATTTTTTTCTGAGACTTGTTTTTTAATTTGTACGCATCCATATTTCCAAGGTATGAAAAGTGCTGACAAAGCTGAGTTAAAAATAACTGCAGCAGATCCCGGTGATCCCCACGCATGCAACGTGGCAGATTTTGCGCCCCTCTCCAGGATCGTGGGTGGCCTCACCCTTAACTTGTGTAAGAGCATCAGAGGTCCGGGTAAGGTTAGCCCAGGGTTTGTCACCCAAGCACTGTTGATATTTTGGTCCAGAGAGTTATTTTTTGGATGGGGGGAGTGGATTCTTTTGTGCATTGCGAGATGTTTAGCAGCATCTCTGGAGTCTGCCCAGTGGATACTGGTAGAATCCCCTGAGTCGTGACAACTAAAAATATCTTCAGAATTTGCCACATGTCTGCTGGGGAGAATACTGCCCCCAGTTGAGAATCATTGGTTTAGTCCCTGCCTTTTTTTTTTTTTCCCCTGGTAGCATCAAACTATAAATGACTTCTGGGTTATTTGAGGGTACATTTTGTTTGTATATGCCTGTACCACACACATACACACACACACACACAAATGAGATTGGGGAAGGAGAGACGCCCCCTCTCCTGGCGCGTGTCTCCTTTCTGGGCAAGTGCCTTCCCTCTGTGTGGCTCCTAAGTTAACTATGAAATAGTGGTTTCCAGGTGCTATTTTCTAAAGCGTGCTCCCTCCGCATTTGGTTAGGGCTGGAAGAGGGGTCTTACGTGTGATTTGCTTTGCCCCAGCTGCTGATGACCACATTTGATACTTTGCACTTGTAACCACAAAATACAAAGACAAATTAAAATATTAGAGCTTGGACTTTTAGAAAGGATGTCCTCTCTCTCTATCAGTGAAGAAACAGATTTAGAGAAGTTAAATTACTTACTCAGTGTCAAATGGTTAAAGATGTTTATAGAGGTCCTTGAAAAAAGGTAGCTATTGATAAGGAATTAAGATTTATAAATAAAACTATGGAAGTGAATTTTAGTAACAAAGGATGGTGCAAAATAGTTACTCTCTGTGTAAATCATTGGACAAAAATGGTAAGTACCAAATTGAAGGTTTTCTGAAAAGTAATGATAAAAATTATGGCTCTTATTATATGAGAAAAATTTCATTTAAATATATATAGATTATGTAAAGATTGTCTTTCATTATTTCTTTCTGGTTTTGGAAAGTTAGAATGAGTTTAACAAAGTGGCAGAAATGGGTCACGTGCTTTGGGTACTGAGGATACACCTATTTGAACGTTGCTTACTGTATTTCTCTGCCAATTTGGATTTTGAACAACAGATGGACCTTTCCCCTGGAGAAACAGACCAGCCAGGAAGGCAGATAGTGTAGGTTTCTGGCTCTGGATTAGCTGAGAGAAGTGCAGTTTTATTTAGTTGGAGGGAACTTTGAGTATGGATGAAAGTGTCTTTTATCTTTTATTCTTTATTTTTAAAAAATACCTACTGTGTAATAGTTACATTCATTTAGTTTCCCAGACTGTAAAATTGCTTGATAATTTTTTACAATAATGGTCAGGATACCAAGAACAGAAGGGTTTTTTTTTTTCCCAGCTTTGGCTTACAAAGGAAGTAGAACAGGTTTACATGAGAATGAAAGACATGCTCATGGAGTCGTTGGATCAATTCTCCTGTAATTATTATTTAGGATATCTTTCTAATGGTCATATTGAACTGAGTGTTTCTATTTTCATTAATATTTACTCTAAGTATTTTTCTGTATTAGTCATTTCACCTATACTGGTCTCCACAGAGAAAACAATCACAGGCAGTAGAATCTTCTCAAGTTTTAGAAAATGTGGTGGTTCTTCCTCTGTCTTAATGAGAAAATGGTTAGCTGCTTTTATTACTGACTTACATCTTGACAGGGAACTAGACATGAGTAAGAAAGCAGTTCTGTCCTCACAGAGTGTAACTTAGAGTTAAGGGGATGAGACGTGAATATAAATGGTCAAAATGATAATGAGGGCAGTGAGCTTGGGTGGTGCCAGTAGCGACAGGGGCAGTGGGACTGTCAGGATCCCAGATGTCACTCACTGATGCATGTCCCAGGTTAGAGAGAGGAGAAAGTATTCAAGGATGACTCAGAGGTTCTGAGCTCTAGGTGACTGATAAACTTCTGGTGCCATCTGGAAGATGGGGAGCAAGTTTTAATGAGAGACAGTGAGCTCAGGGTTGAGTCTTAAGAGGCTGAGGAACAACTCCTTTGATCGTCCATTCAGAGAGGACTTCTGGGCATTGGGCCTCTAAACTGATTTACTGTAACTTAGTATGTTTGTAGTCCCTAAGATTTCCTGTGAACTTTTAGGCACATCCAAAATGCGTTCCTAATGGTTGGTTTGTTTTGCAGTTGTGCTTGTGAAAGCTGTACCAGTCTCTTGATCTCAGTGGGCCTTTTCATTGTAATGATTAGAAACAAATTTTTTGATGGCTCTGGGTTTTGTGTATTTGGCTTGGTTACCAGGAGATAGAGAAATAATTGACAGTGAAAGCTCCAAACTGGTGGCAGACATTCCAGATGGCTTGAGCTGCAAACTAACTAGACTGCTGGTCACAAAACTAACACGTTGGGTAAGTTAGTGAACATGTATTGCCTTTTTTTCTCTATGCTTAGAAGCTAGTTTCCTCTGTGGGAAGGTTATAGCTCAGTGGTAGATAGAATGCGTGCTTAGCATGCAGGGGTTCCTGGGTTCAATCCCCAGTACCTCCATTAAAAAAAACAGGTCACAGAATACTCTGAGTTGTCTAGATTTAAATATTATATCCATTACTTTTTAAGTGTTTTACTCTTGCCACCTGTCTTCATATATATCCCAACCACACCCAGCTTTTCTTCCAGAAAATGCTCCAACTTTCTGAAATTCTTTTCTGCTACTTTATTTTACAGAGATATCCATGAATGGCAATAGATGCATATGTGTATTTAAAATTTACATTGGTAAATATTCTCATTCACGTATCTTTAACTTCATTTGATAGATGGCGTATCAGCTTTCAATTTAGGAGTAGAGGAAGATGCAGAATCCTCTTCTCATTTGGAGGTACTGTTCTATCATTATCATTATTATTATTATTTAGAAGTATAAACTGTGAGTTATATTAACACATAAATGAAGGGATTCTCTGAGGTTAGTTACTCACCTTTGCACTTGCCCATCCAAACTTCCTCTTATGTTTTCTAGTCCACCATTACGAGCTTCATTGTATGCAGGGTGTCATGCCAGTGCCTAGTACACTCTGTGAGGTTTCCAGTCTCACCTAATGAAACCAGTGTATGTAGCACAAAAAGCAGTGTTGAGAAGTCCTATGGAATCAACTTGGCTTCTTGAGTTTTTTCTCTAAAAAGTAAAGAACTATTCTTTTTCAACCTGTGACCAATTGTGTGTTTCTTTTGTATAAATGGATGTGTCAGACTCCAGGCAGGTGTAGAGAAAAATAGGTTGGATTAAAAAGAAGAGTGTTTTCATGTTGTGTTTTGCTTTGTGTTTTTGCCATATTGACCTTGAAAAGCAAATGCCTGTGAAATGGAATTATTATAGTTTCCTTGTCATAGATCTGCAGGGACTATTTCACGAGAACCAGAAGCATGGTGGAGGGTGATAAATATGTGGGGTCAGTGTACCAACAGTTTGGGTGAGTGATGTTTTAATGAAGAGAACCCCTTTTTGATAGTTTTTGTGGCCTGCATGTTGCACTTTGATAATGACCATAGTTGAAGTACTGTAAGTAACAGTGATGACATGTTCAAAGCTGATGGCTGTGGGGAGAGGTAAGGAGGCCCAGAGCTCTTGGATCTGGAGAACTGCTGCCTAGTGGCCCAGCAGTGTGTGTGAAGTCAACAGATACGTTGGCATGCACTAGCTGTGGGGTCTTGGAAAAACTTGTTGGAGCTAGTTTGAATGTCAGCAACCTTGTTGGTAAAATGGTACTGATACCTCTGAGATATGTGCAATGAACAAACATGGTAACAAATGTGAAAACATGTTGTCGTGTGTAAGCGGTGCTGTAGGGGGTGAGACAGAATGATCACTGGCAATGCATGGCTATGTGTTTAGGACACTTTTTTGACACCTGAAAGACAATAAATGGCACTGGAGTTAAGCATGGGAAAGTCAGAGCGAGCACATGGATTTCTCACTTGGGGTGTGTCACGTTTCAGTGGACTTAATGCAGATCTCTGATAAGTACAGAGTGCTTTGGTACTTGAGGCCAACTTGAGATTTTAGATGTTTTGACCTTAAAGAAATTCCTTCTCCTGAACACCCACTGTGTGCCGGGCAGTTAGACACTGAACATACCAGGTGAGGGGTGAGGCTGTGGGGGTGGGAACAGAAGAACCAGTGAACAGGAATTCTCTGTCAGTCACAGTGAGTCCTTCAGGTAAAGAAAATGGAAAAACTTCAGTTTTTTATGAAAGTTATGAAAGTGGGTGATTTTAGCTAGGATCGGGGTGGGGTAAGAGTGGAACTTACTAGTCGGCACAGATCAGAGTGTGACCACAGCTGCCAGGAAAGGATGGGATGGAGCCACTCACATGATGGCCCAGGGGAGGGCTCTTCTGGACAGAGAACAGGGGGTCACATCTGTTTATCGTTGGACCCCAGCACCTTAGAGTGACCAGGAAGCAGCAAGTGGGTAACCGTCCTTACAACCATTTTTATTGTTGTTGTTTGTAGGAAAGAAGACGTGCACAGTGAGGGCCTGGCATATGCGGGGGGTTAGGAAATAAATGTCCTCATCCTTCCCTTATGGCAGTCCCTGTGCTTTTTTGAGGAATTGCGTATCTACATTTAAAGTTTTGCTGTAATTAAAACAGCATTTTTCTTACTACTTTGCTACTTTATTCAACTAGTTTTCCTAACTGTAAAAGTTTTATCAAATAATAGATTGTGCTAAGCTACTGCTTACTGAAATGAAGCAGCTTCTACAGTGTTCTGTCAGTACTCAGTGTGATAGACTCCAAGGTTTGTTTCATGCCAAGGATCTCATTTTAATACTAAATCCGTATCTGTCCTTAGAAATATTTTAAATTTATAGCAATATACTTACTAAAATATTTGTTTAAAAATAAGTGTATTTTAAATTTTACTTTTTTATTGAAGTATAGTCAGTTTACAATGTTAGTTTCATGTGTACAGCAAAGCAATTCAGCTTTACCTACAAAAATAGGTATTTTTAAAAATGTCTTCCTTTTTGTGGGGGAATTCAACATGAAGTTAGGTGTTTCGAAGTTAATTCTTTGTTGAAATGTGAATATAAGTCAGTGTTTTGCATGTGAAAATACTTGCTCTGGCTTTCCATGTTCAGTTTACTGAATCAAAAGCCAAATGAAGAAAAAAGATAGACTAGATCTAGAAAATGTATATGAAATTTTCTATTTAAATGTTTGGTTTCCCAAGATATTCTTCTCTTATTTTAAGTCTAATTGCTTTTAAAATAGGAATTTTTTTAAAAAAGTTAGAAAATGCAGGGATTTTCTTATCAAGGGATTAGGAAATCTTTATTCAACTCATTATTAATATTGATTTTAACAGAGTATCTCTGAGAGTCGACCACAGAGGTATGTGGATATTTCATCTGGAGCTGCAGGTCAAATGGGGGAAAATATATTAAGTGGACAAATAGAAGGTAAGAGCTGTATTTTATTAAAAAGTCTTTTGATAGGATGTTGATTTCAAACATGAATTCAGATATATTCTAAAAGCCAAAGAAAATCACCTGGTGAAGGTATAGTGAGGAAAAAGGTGAGAAATGGAGGCAAGTTACATAACTTAGGTGTCCACAGCGAATTAGACTGAGGGTGCCGTTTAAGGAGCTATGTTATTAGTTTCACTTCAAGGTCCTCTGCCACCTAAGGACAATCAGGAGGTAAGGAGTAGGGAAAGAGGGGAAGAAGAATGAGCGAGGCAGAGAGGACAGGCAGTAAGTGAAAGGAAGGGAGGGGCCTGTGGGGAATGGTGGGAAGGCAGAGCAGTTCTTTGGAAAGAGGAAGAGTGTCTGAAATGTGAGATGGATCTGAAGTGAGCTTCCAGCACCACAGCTTGTCCGAGAAACACGAATGTTCCCACTGTCCCCGTCCTCCTCATTGTTAGGAGGGCAGTGGGGGCTGAGGTGCCTGATCACGCAGAGCTGGGTTCTCCCTGCCGTGGTTGAACACAGGCAGGTGTGGGCAGCTGTAAATTTCTGGACCTTCATGTCATGTGGTGTGTTGCTGCCTTATAGGATGGTGTCACCTCGGCCAAGAGAAGAGAATAAGGAAGAGGAAGAGAGCAGGGTGTGTTATGGGGGGGCGCAGGGAAGCTGTTTCCTGATTAAGAGTCCGTTAGAATGTGTGCAACTTCTAGTGCAGTTTCAGGTTGGGGAAGCGTTACAGTGGGCACTTGAGGCTAGATTTCAGAAGGATCAATTATGTCAAGTAGACTTGGTATAGACCAGAATTTCTCAAATTGTAATTAGTCACCCAGGGACTGGGTCAAAAATGCATGTTCTGATCAGCAGGCCTGAGATTTTGCATTTCTAAGAAGTTCTAAGGTGACACCCTTGTTACTGGTCTTGAGGCCATGCTCAGAGCAGCAAGAGGGTAGACGTGTGTTTAGAGAAATCTGGAAGAGCCCCTGGAGAGCTCACGATGTAACAGCATCAGGAAAAGTGTGGTTTTGTTTTCTGTCTGAGCACGTTTATAGCCAGAGGGAGGCAAAGAGTTGAAGTAGAAATTACCCATGTAAGGTACTGTGATCAAACAGAGAAGAAAAAGAAGTGGTGGAGGTCATCCATCCAAAGAATCCAGAAGGGGAAGAATTACGACCACAGATCTAGGGATCCCTTTGAAGAGGGGAGGATGCAGTGAAAGGAAGGAAGGAGGAGAAGAAGCAGTAGGTAGCTGATGTAGGAATTGATGAGGAAACTTGAGAGAACTCCTTCTAGATGGCATCATGTATTTGCACTGAAGCAAGATTAGGTCATTGACACTGCAGAGAATTCTGGAAGCAGGAAGGGGCTGGAACTAGGCAAACCACAGCCACTGCTCACAACTATCAGGCATCAAGGATGTATGTTGCTTTGGTATTTGTTATTCAGATGAGATTAGTTTGAATATGGAAGCACTGGATGTTTGTTAGTTTTTTTTTTTTTAGGATAGCTAATATTTTGATACTATGGTTGTTTCACAGAAAGCCTTTTAAACATTAGCATTAGATACCAAACCAAACTAATTTTGAAAACACAAGAAATTAATAGGGTTCATTCCCTAAAAGCTCAAATTGTTTTCAGTAAATACTACAGTGGTTTTGAAGTATAAAAGACTTTTAATGTCTAATAATCCTGTGGCAATTAAATTTATTTTTTTCCTTTTTTGATAATCATATTTCAATGTGGAAAATTTAATATACATTATTTCTTAGGTGTGTCTTATATATCTTCTTGCACGAGAGGATCAAGAAACTTTGAGATGACAACCAAGACCACGTCCACCCCGACAGCATGGGCCGCTCTCTGCTCCACCTTTACCACCGGGCTGCACCACCACCAGTTTGCCATGGGTAATGACATTGCTGCGCTTGTGGTCGACAGTGGCTCCAGCATGTGCAAGGCTGGCTTTGCAGGCGATGATGCCCCCCGGGCCATCTTTCCCTCCATCATGGGACGCCCACGGTACCAGGGCGTCATGGTGGGCACGGGCCAGAAAGACTCCTACTTGGGTGATGAGGCCCAGAGCAAGAGAGGCATCCTGACCCTCAAGTACCCCATTGAGCATGGCATTGTCACCAACTGGGACGACATGGAGAAGATCTGTCACCACACCTTCTATAATGAGCTACGTGTGGCCCCTGAGGAGCACCCCATGCTCCTGACTGAGGCCCCCCTGAGCCCCAAGGTGAACTGTGAGAAGATGACCCAGATCATGTCTGAGGCCTTCAACACCCCAGCCATGTACGTGGCCATCCAGGCCGTGCTGTCCCTGTACACCTCTGGCTGCACCACTGGCATTGTGGTGGACTCTGGTGATGGAGTCACTCACACTGTGCCCACCTATGAAGGGTATGCCCTCCCCCACACCATCCTGCATCTGGACCTGGCTGGCTGGGACCTGACAGACTACATCATGAAGATCCTCACGGAGCGTGGCTACAGGTTCACCACCACAGCCGAGTGGGAGATCGTGCATGACATCAAGGAGAAGCCCTGCTACATCACCCTGGACTTGCAGGAGATGGCCGCCGCCGCCTCCAGCTCCTGCCTGGAGAAGAGCTATGAGCTGCCCGATGGTCAGGTCATCACCGTCGGCAGCGAGCGCTTCTGCTGCCCCGAGGCTCTCTTCCAGCCCACTTTCCTGGGCCTGGAAGCCTGTGGCATCCACGAGACTACCCTCAACTCCATCATGAAGTGTGATGTGGACATCCGCAAGGACCTCTACACCAACACGGTGCTGTCTGGCGGGACCACCATCTACCCCGGCATCACCAGCAGGATGCAGAAGGAGCTCACCGCCCTGGCCCCCAGCATGGTGAAGGTCAAGATCATCGTGACCCCCGAGCTCAAGTACTCCATGTAATGGGCGGCTCCATCCTGGCCTCGCTGCCCACCTTCCAGCAGATGTGGATCAGCAGGCAGGACTACGATGAGTCCAGCCCCTCCATCGTCCACTGCAAGTGCTTCTAGGCGGACTGAGTTACTGTCCATCGTTCTCTTGACAAAAACCTAACTTCAGTGGAAAAGGAGATGAGTGGCATAGCTTTATTTTGTTTTGTTTTTTAATTTTCTTTAATATTTTTTCTCTTTTTGGTACTTGACTCAGGATTTAATAACAGTGAAGGTGATAGCAGTCAGTTGGATTGAGCATCCCCAAAATTCTACCTTGTGGCCGAGGACTTTGTACATTCTTTTAAATAGTCATCACAAATATTGTGAGATGCATTGTTACCGGAATTCCCTTGCCTTTCCAAAACTACCCGACTTCTCTAAGGAGAAGGGCCAGTCCTCGCACAAGTCCACAAGGGAGGGTGGTAGCATTGCTTTTGTGTAAGTGATGTTCTCCAAATAAAAAAAGATTACCTTAATACTTGTTTTTGTTTTATTTGGAATGGTCAGACCCCCTTTTTTGTCCCCAAACTTGAGATGTATGAAGGCTTTTGGTTCTGGTGAGAGTGGGTTGAGGCATGGAGGCAGCCAGGGCTTATCTGTACACTGACTTGAGACCAGTTCAATAAAGTGCACACCTTAAAAAAAAAGAAAACTTTAAGTGGGTTAAGCTAGAGGATACAAGAAATGTAGGCACACCAGTAGCCCACATGGGTGTGGGAAAAAAATGAACATTTTAATGAACTATTCTCCAAGTGTGTCGCCAAGCTGATCAACTCATAGCACTCTCTCTGATGAGGAGTGAATTACATATTCAAATATAGTGTCGTCACAACTGTGGACTTCCTAAATTACAGGGCGAATTGAAAAACCTGATGCATCCTTGTAGTCTGATGGTGTTAACTGCATTAAAGATGTGCTGCTGCGTTAGTCTCCTTGGAGTCATGATTTATTCTGATTAAAGCTCACTTTTCTCATCAATCAGCATGTTCCCATTGGTATATGTGCAATTTTCTATTTTATAAACTCATTTGGAACATAATCATACTTTTGAAATCTTAACTGCATGTTCTGTTAAACCTATATTCCTGTTTTTATTCATTATCTGTAATGGATTCATGTTTCTGTCTTGTTGCTGTCTTAACTGCCCCTCAAAAACAAAACACCAAAACCTAACGTGTTCATTTCCAAAGCAAGTGTGAGGGTTACACTCATTCCTAACTCTGCATGACTGTACAGTTGGCTTTTGTGTTTACATGTCATTGGTTATGTGTCCCTTTAGTCTTTCAGATTCTACTGGAGAATATCCTCACTTGAAGGTAAGAACTTTTATAATTTTACCTTGAATTTTTTAGTGGGGGTACTGGGAATTGAACCCAGGACCTCATGCGTGCTAAGCAGGCACCCTCCCCCCTTGAATTATTACTATAGATTATATCAAGTGTACATTATTTATTACTCTTTGTTTCAAAACCCATTCAGCTACAGTTGGAGTGAGATTCTGTTCCTAATAAAACAGGAGGGGTGAAGGATTTACAAACATCCAGATCAGGTAAACTTTGCAATACAAATTTAACTCTGAAAAGAAGTGCACTAAAATATTTAAAATGTTCACAGTCTTCTCATTTCTAATTCCTTCTTTTTTTTTCAAATTTAATTGAAAGATTTGACATAAATAAGACACGTTATTGTTACTATCCATGTTTGGGAAAATATATTCATAAGCATAAGAAAAAGATTTTTAAAATATAAGCTTTAACTCAGAAGTTTCCATTTATGTTGGGATACACTAAAGTGCTCAGTTTGGAATCCCTACACTACTTAGGGATTCTGAGAGATTATTAGTCGCTAAGATTTTTTTCCAGTGTTTTAAAATGCTTAATTGAATTCTGAGCTTTATGTAGAGTAAAGCTTCACTTGCTAACATGTCGATTGTATTTCAACTTTAATTATTTCATTTTAGTGTTATTACATTGATGATATTTATTTTTTATTTAATGGAGGTACTAGGGATTGAACCCAGGACCTTGTGCATGCTAAGCACATGCTTTACCACTGAACTATACCCTCCCTTCTCAAGGAGATTTTCTGAAATAAATGTTTTACTCATATACAGAGAGCAAAATGCATTTGTTTAATTTTTGCCAGTAGCATTTTTACAAGACATTACAACAGAAGCACTTTCTTCATTTTATGTATTTAAGATTCTGTGCTAAAAAATTATTAGCATAGAACAGACCTTAACATTTTAGTTTTATAAAAGCGCAAGAATGGAAACCTCATTTTAAGGAAAAATCCATTAAAGTTAAAAAAAAAAAACTGACTAAACTTTTCTAAAGGGCAGTTTTTCTAAGAATTGCAAGATAATGCATTTAGTGTAAAATATGACTTGAATTGTTTAATCTATAAAATATGAAATTATATGTATTCAATAGGACAATATTTATTGTACTTTTCATCAGATGAATCTAAATAGCATTAATATATATATATATATATATATATATATTCTCTATTATCTAAAACCAAAATAAGTAGGAATTTATTTTATTTTATTCATGTGTTTTTTTTTTTTTCTATTTAAGCAGTCTCCAAGTTGGATCTAGTCTCTAAAAGTATTATTTAAAAGTCACATTTTATAAGCTAGCTCTCATTCCCATGATACTGTCTCTTGTTTAATTTAAACATTATAAATATTATTTGACTTATTTCAGATGCAGCAGGAGTTGGAAAAAATATAACTAGAGAACTAGAAGAAGATACATTGCCAAAATTTATGAATTACATTTAGACATTGATTTCTGAAATAAACTGTAAATAGTAAATAGCATCTCTTTCCATTGTTTGAATAACAGACACTATGTTACATTTTTTTCTTATCCATACCTAATGAAAAATGTGAAAACAAAAGCATTCATAATGAAAAATATACTTATTCCTCATTTATTCATAATGACCCATAGCTTTAAAAAATAATCTCAAGAAGCCTGTGTTCTCTGTTCATTTCTGGCTGTATCCTCCCTCTCCTCCTGCTGTCCCTGTGGGGCTGTCACCCTACACACTGACACTGTTCTCAGAAAACCTGGAGGTCATCAGCTTCTTGAGTTTCTGGTAGTGAAATGAGGCCAAAAACCCAGACTCAAGCAATCACAGTCTATGTAGCTGCCACTGGTGGGTGACAATTAAATTTCCTGTCATTGACTTTGTCATTGGTTAATCTTTTGCCCTCAGGGAAAATTCCAAATTCCTTAGTTTGGAATAAAAAACACATCAATTTGGTTCTTGCCAAAGTGTTCAGATGTATCTCTTTACTCCCCTGCTCTGCTGCTTTGCCCCAGCGTCTGGCCCAGCTAGACTGCTTCCGGTTCCACATGTGCCCTTCCCTGCCTCTAGCTTTTGTATTTGCTTCTTCCCTCTCCCTCCCACACTTTGTCCTCTTCCTTCAGGTATCTGCTTACATATCACTGCCACCAAAAGGGGGCAATATTGGCACAAAGCTCGATGTCCCTTCTAAGTGTTCCCGTTGTGCCCCCTTTTATACCTGCTGTGGTGTTTATGACTCTGTATGGAAGTTGCCTGTTTTTCCAGTTTATGGTATGTGATTCTTCAGGGTGGACTTTGTCATCTTCATCTTGCAGTTCCAGTGCTTCACACAGTGTCTCAGCACATGGTTGTTGAGCCAATGAATAAAGAATGAGAAAACCAGCAGCTCCAATACTTAGCCACATGAGCAGCTAATGATTCAATGCGCAGCCCTGGGCAGATTCTAGAATCGTCATCTTGCATTTTGTATTGTACTCATATATAGATACTTTTCATTCTTTTTAACACTTAGAAAGGTCTCAGCTTTTAAAAAAACTAACGTATATTTAGTTACCTATGAAGTATTTTAGATAAAGAATCTTAATTCTTTTTCTTTCCAGTTGCTGCTGAACTTGAATCTGGGTCCTGTAGAGCTTCTCCTGTAGGATCCACAGCAGCGCATGGGGAAGCCGCTCTGGACAGCTTTGTGTGGGGTCTGGAGGCTTCCTCTCTCAGCTCTGGGTGTCTCTGTTGCTAACCCTTCCTAGCTGTCTGGCCGCCGGAAACCCACTCCACATGTTATGCCCTGAAGATGGGTTCTGTTTGTAACTCACTTCTACTCCTTGGAAAACAATTCCATAAAAATTCAATTGGTTTTTGCCCAGCTGTGGGCAGGGATGAGAAATAGCATATTATTAGTTTATAAAAGATATAAATAATAAAAGAAGTCATAGAACAGCCCTGGGCACAGCAGAGAGTCAGTGATGCCTCCCGGCCTAAAGCAGAAGTGACGGCTCAGTGTTCCGTGGCTCCCGGGCGTGCTGGGCTGCTTACTCCTTTCCTCCCTTACACTTTTTTCTTTTTTTACTAAGAAAGAAATATGTACATATGGTAAAAAATTCAAACAGAGCACAGAAATACACAAAGGAAAGGTTTCCTTCATCCTCTGTTGTCTCAGCCCTCCCTGGAGGTGTCACTGTTTACAATCCTTTGTGTGTTTTTCCAAATAGGCTGTGCACATTCCAACCTATGCATGTAAGTTCCTTTAACATTTTACTTATTTTTAACCTAAAGGAATTTAAATCCTTAAGTGGCTTCTGCCCTGTGATAGAAAAGAACAAATCTGATTCTGTATTAGATCTGTTCCTTTGACTTTAACCCTGTGCCCTGTTTCCTAGGCTTAGATTGCCAGCTCTGCACCTTTTGTGAAACAATGTTGCCAACAGCCTGAACTACACAGGAGAGCCTGTTCTCAAGGCTCTGACCTTTAAGGATATTAGCACTTTTACATTCATAAAGATAACAAGTTGAAGAACAGAAAATAACTTTTGTTAGTTTTACAGGGGCACCATGACCTGACTCACATGGACAGCTAAAAGAAAGAAGGATTCCAAGAACAAAGAATTCCTACACCAAGAAGTTTGCAACAAGTGACCACATCCCTTCCCCTTTTCAGTATAAAAAGAG